TCCCGCAGGATCTGGCGCTCTGGCTGACCCCCGTTTGCATTGACCCCCGTCTCGAGGCTCCCGAACCCTGGGCCTGAAGCCTTTTCCGGGAAATACATTCCGCATCGGGTGCCGTATTGCGATCCGTGGCTGATGCGAAGTTCACGAATGAATTTCTTTGTGCTCAAATACGGCAGTAGCAAATGGATTCCGTATTTCGTCCCGTTCGTGATGCGGAATCACTACTGCATTTTTCCGCTTCCGTTCTTCATGGGTTATGCCACGACTTCTGCAAGAGTCGTCGACACTGGCGGTGCAGCATCGCTGCCGATAGGACCCAATAGATGCTGCCAGACTGTACTTGCCCAGCCCGTGGTGCGCAGGGCAGGATTCTCCAAAAGAACATGCTTACGATTAAAGAGAGACGCGTGAGGGCGATGAGCGGGAACGTCGTTTCCAGCTGGAGCAAAGCAGATAACCCAATGAAGTTCAAGTAGAAATGCCAGGCCAATCGGCAGGCAATTCAAGCTCCAGGGGATTTGGAGGAAGCCACGGCGAATGGCACTGCATGACTGTGCAATCAGCACTTTCAGAATATGCAGTTCTAGCGATGATATGACCATTTCTCCCAACCGCACCCTCCCAACCCGACAGCTGTCCCCCTGACAACTGCATCGCACTCGCGCTCCCGATGCCACAATCCCTAGCACATTGCGACTGGTTCGCGCTCCACTGACCATAAGATCCGCGCTCCCAAGGCCCCACACCCTGGCAGCTAATCGCAACGCGCTCGCACCCCCGAGGCCTCAACCCGCAGAAATTGCAATGGCATCGCGCTCCCGAGGAAATAGTCGAAGCAGTCCCCTTGCAACTCACGGCGAATTCGCGTTCCCGGGGCTGCGGGCCCACCCCACGGAGGAAGCCCAGGAGCGCATTCCCTCTCCAGAGCAGAAAGCTGCCATGTGTGTGTGTGTGTGTGTGTGCTGGGGGCATGCACTCGGGGGGAACGTTTTTCGAGTGCCCTGTCGGTTCCTGTAAATTCGGCGATGCACCCGAAGCAACGGATCCTCAAACATATCTAGGGGTGCTCGCTCCCGAAGCCGCGAACCCTCGTAAATCACAGTGGAAACGAACTCAACCTCTAATTGATCACTGCAGGCGCGCGCAGCCAGCCAATCAGCAAACAGCCAGCAAACGGCCCGAATCGACAGCCAGCCATCCATGTAGACAACAAGCCAATCAGAGAGCCAACCAAACGACAAGAAAATCAACCAACCTACCGATCAAGCGTGGCCACGCAAGCAATCTGAGGAGGTGGCCAATGGCAGAGGGCGAACCCCTTCAGATCACTACGCGGATGATGGTGGATGTCTTGAACATCTGGTTTCTGCCTCTGGCATTCTCACATGTTGATGCCCTGAAGCTTGATATGTCCAGCAGCTTTGTTGATGCAGGGCGTAATATGCTCAAACTGCAGTTATGGCTTGGTACGCGCTCACGCCTTCTGTTCCTAAATCGTGTCGTGTCAATCTTTGGACGCCCGAGATGGGTACGGAAAACATGGGTACGATGCCAAACAACAAAATGTTGCCCAAAACCGACAGCGGCCGCTGCTTGGCAGGCGGCCTTCTGTCTCAAATGAACAACGCCCGCAGTAGCACGGACGGCGGACCCGGTTCAAAATGAACAGGACATGTTGTCGGTCTTCGTACCCATTTTTCCCGTACCCATGTCGATCGCACCGACGATCGGCACACGGATGCGTGACGGCTCGTGCTGCGCATGGGGTTCTCGCTGCAAGATTCCCCAACATGTTGTGAGACTGGTTGCTCGCCATGCTGATGCTGCCTGGATGGAGGGCGGCTCCTTGTCAAAGTCGCGATTTGGTCAAGGACGTCCTCACATGAGCGAGGAGAAGACAAAAGGGACTCACGCGAAACGACAGAGCGACCTTCCGCCGCGGCTTACGCGGGCCGCCAACGCAGCATGCCGCATTGGAGGCGAGAGCGCTTACGCGCGGCCTTACGTGGGCAGCTTGCGCGCCAGTGTCAGTGAGGACGACACCGTGGTCTCGCATCGCCCATATAGTGGAGGCCCGACCACAAGAAACCTTCCGCAAGAAACCCAACCCTGAGGCCTCAGGGCGTCCATTGATTTTTGGCGTGGGGGCGTCGCGCTTCCCATAGCGAAACCATCGACACCGAAGAAACCTAGGGGACCCTGAGTGCAAGCAAGGTGTTTCTTGGCATGGATCTCCACTGTACGAAAACCGTCAAGAATTTACAGCAGGTGCGCGAATGGAAACCGGCTCCGTTTGCAAGACGGGTTCTCGCCTGATGCTTGGACACATTTTGAAGCAATCGCGCCATCAACTCCACAGATGGGGGGGGTCAAAGTATCGGAGGGCACGCGATCCACAGTCGCTGGCTGGAACAATTGATCTAAAGGGGGGGGGGGTCAGAACCCAGGGCACCCCCCATGGAAAAAGAGGTCCAGGGTGTGTCCGAAACCAGGGGATCCCCCCCCTAAACAATTACTCAATATGAATACTACTCTCCCTCTTCCCCTGATGACGGTTTGAAAGTGTCCGACCCCCCCCCCGCGTACTGTTGTTTTACACGCAGGTTTCCCCGGAGTTGGGTTTTCGCCTGCATTTTTTTCCAAAATGCTGCTCTCGCTGAGGCGCCGGCCTCATTTTCGGGCCCCGCTCGTTCCGAATCGTGCTCCTGCTACAGCGCTGGCCTCATTTCCGTGCCTCCGCTCGTTCCGAATCGTGCTCCCGCTGCAACGCTGGCCTCATTTCCGTGCTTCCGCTCGTTCCGAATCGTGCTCCCGCTGCAGCGCTGGCCTCATTTCCGCGCTTCCGCTCGTTTCGACTCGTGCTCCCGCTGCAGCGCTGGCGTCATTTCCCGTGCCATGCCACGGCATGCAATGCACTGCTAGGTTGATGCTACGCTTGCGGTGCTCGTCTACGCCATGCCATGCCGTGCTCTACAATGCATCGCGTACCCTTTCGGGATCATTGCCCTGCTCGACATCCGACTGTGCGAGTAGAGAGGGGATCTGCGCCATGGGAAGGGATGGGAGGGAGGGGTAGGTGTCAGATATGACGCGAGCGCACCTAGCTTGGCCCCCCCCCTCCCCCCTCCCCCCCGGGAAGAAGCTAGGGGATCCCCCCCTCCCCTGGAAAATTATAATTGATTACTCGGGTGGTTTAAGCCCCTCCCCACACCCCACCCCGCCCCCCGGGAAGATTACTCTGGGGCTCAAGAACCCCCAGGCAGCGACGACCGACGATGACGACGTCAGCAGCGCACCTGTTGCCAGCGCCTTCGCAAGGCGCTGGCTCTGATAGAATGCTACCAGGGCTCGACCCAGCTCTCTCAATACCCTACTAGGGCCATCCTGTACTCGACCCTACTCTATGCTACCCCACTCTACTCCACTCTGTGTTCCTCTACTCTACTCTACTCTACTCCACTTTGCCTTACTCTATTCTACGCTACCGTGCCCTACCAAACTCTACTCTACCCCATCTTGCTCTTACACTGAACTACTCTACTCATTATCTAGCCTACTCTACTCTCCTCTCCTCTACTCTACTCTGCCCTACTCTTCTCTACCCTACTCTACCCTTATCGCACCCGAATACACTCTAGTATATTCTATGTTGCTCAATCTCTACTCTACCCCGTCGCTACTATACTCTACTCAGTTCTGCTCAATTCAACTCTATATCTTCTCTACTCTACCCATCTAAGCTTGTCTAGTTTACTCTATTTTAATATGATGTGCACGTTCCTGCTCTACTCTACTCTATCCTGCTCTACTCTACCGCATGCCACCCTACACTACTCGCCTCTACTCTACCTTCTACTTTACTCATATTCTATTCTACTCCACGCATGCTCGTCTCTGCTCGTCGTCGTCGTCTTCGTCGCCGTGGTCAACGTCGTCGTCGTCGTCGTCGTCGTCGTCGTCGTCGTCGTCGTCGAGGTCAACGTCGTCGTCGTCGTCGTCGTCGTCGTCGTCGAGGTCGTGGTGGATGAACCCCCCGAGAATAATTTACCTGGGGGGGGGATTCTGGACCCCCCGAATCATTTTCCCGGGGAGGGGGGGGAGGGCTTAACCCCCCCCCAACCCCCCTGCCAATAGCGGCAGAAAGTGCCCTTTCAAGAATCGCTTCGACACCGATCAAGCTCGGGCCTTGCATGTCCCCAGGCAAGACGACCACCGTGCGGGGGGAACCTTCGGCAGCGGCATGGATGGAGGGGGACCGCTCTGAAACCCATCGTGGCTTGCCACGCTCTGCGGTCGAGTCATGATTTCTTCGTGCACTTTCGCTGGAAGACTGGGACGGCTCTCACCGATCCTGCCCTGCCACCCTCCCAGGGTCCTGACCCTGTGCGCCAGGCTCGGGGGTCCCTGGCCCTTCGAGCGGGCTCCTACCCATGGTGAAGCGGAATACCTCTGCCTGGTCCTGGATTTTGGAAAGGGAAGGTGCTGGGCAGCATGAGCATCAATGATGTGTGGCGGGCTTACTCTGGGCTCTCTCTTCCTCTCCCCTCCTCCTCCTCCTCCTCCTCCTCCTCCTCCTCCTCCTCCTCCTCCTCGTCCCTCCTCCTCCCTCCTCCTCCTCCTCCTCCTCCTCCTCCTCCTCTCCTCCTCCTCATCCTCCTCCTCTCTCCTCCTCCTCCCCCTCCTCCCCCTCCTCCTCTCCTCCTCCTCCTCCTCCTCCTCCTCCTCCTCCTCCTCTCCTCTCCTCTCCTCCCTCTCTCCTCCTCCTCCTCCTCCTCCTCCTCTCCTCCTCCTCCTCCTCCTCCTCCTCCTCCTCTCCTCCTCCTCCTCCTCCTCCTCCTCCTCCTCCTCCTCCTCCTCCTCCTCCTCCTCTCCTCCTCCTCCTCCTCCTCCTCCTCCTCCTCCTCCTCCTCCTCCTCCTCCTCCTCCTCCTCCTCCTCCTCCTCCATGCCATTCTCCGCCTTCGCCGCCGCCGTCCCCCCTGTCCTCGTCTTCACCACCACCTCCACCTCGTCGTCGTCATCCGTCGCCTCCTCTGGCTGAGCTCTGAGCCAGCGCGCGGCCCGGAACAGCACGACGAGGCCATCGGCGGTTCGGGTTCGGACCGGTGGATCGGTGTGGCCCGATCCGCCCGATCATAAGCCAGCGGCAGGTGTCGCAGCTCCAGGCTGTGCGTCTTGTCGCTCAGCCGCCCGACAGGGCGGCCGAACTTGTTGTCGAAGTATGCGATCCAGTCGGCCAGGCACTGCCTCTCCTCTTGCCATGCGGGGAACGGGCTTCCAGAGGGGGCACGGGGCCTGGACCCCGGGGCCTCCTCCCCAGGACCCGGCTCCTCCTTCGCTGCGAGTCGTGCCCCGACTTCGGTGGCAACTCGTGGGAGCCCCCCATACCATCTTGTCGGCTCCTGCGAATCGACGCTAAACCAACGCTGAATCGACGCTGATAGATGCCATATCGACGCTAACCGGCGCCAGCCGACGCTAAAACGGCGCTACCTCATCGACTCCAAGACGCTCATCAACGCCAGTCGACGCTCAAGACGCCACTCAGAGGGTAAACCAGGCTCCCATGATTTTTGCTGCCGAATCCGACGGCCCTGGGGCCCGGGGAGGGCCCCGGGAGCCCGAGCGCGAGGGCAGACCTCAGGAGCCGTCTCCCTCACAGCCCGTCTGCTTCAGTCGGGCCGGGCGAAAGGGGGGGATAGCAAAGGGGTGGCTTGAGGATCAGCTCACGTGGCTGATTTTCCCAGCGCCTCCCGGCGCCGGAGGCGGCTATGTATCGAGGAATGGGCCCCTCGGTGGGGCCGAAGCCAGCTGCATGCAGCAGATTTCGTACCCCCCCCCCTTTCCCGATGCCCCCCTTTCGCCCGGCCCCATTCGGGCCGATCCTCGTCGTCGACCTCGTACGCGAACCTGTCCAGCGTGCCCTGCTTCAGGGACATGACCGCCAGACCGGCCAGGCCGGCCGAGCGCCCGAGGGGCGGCGCGGTGCTGGCGCGGGGCCGCGGGGGCACCCCCCTCCCCCCCCCCCGGGGGGGAGGCGGTTTTGGCCCCGAGGGAACCGCAGGGACCGCAGGGGCCGCCCGGGAGGAGGGCAAGCGGAGCAAGGCAAGAGGAATCGAGCCCAGCGCGTCGTCACCTGCGCTGCACCTGCTGCTGACAGCATGGGCCAGCTGCTGGGCCAGGAGGAGGGCCCCCAGGAGCTGGCCGGCTCGACCCCGCCAGTGGATCCTGACCTATAGAGGGAGGGGGAGGAGGGCTGGCGAGGGGGCGGGGGTATGAGGGTCAGCTCCTGATGCCCCTCTCTCGCACTTTGAACTGTGTCCCCCTTCTGATATGTAGCCGACATCTCTTGCCTACTGTTCGACCGACCGAAGAAGAGGCGGAGGTGGAGCAGGAGGCAGGATCATGTAGCATCGACAAATTAGGAAATTCGATCGTATCGGAACGTGTGTCGGGTCGGGCCGCATCGGCACGGAATCCGAAGCGGATGGGCTGCTCCAAGATGCACAGTCGTGCTATGCAAACATCGAGCCGTAGCGGATCGCCAGAATGTCGGAGTCGAGTCGAATCGGATCGGGCCAGCCAGAATAGATGTCGAACAGGATCGATTGGATCGACGTAGCCCCTGGGAGGAAGAGGACGAGTAACAGAGACGAGGGGCAACCCAACATCAGAAGCCGCTTCCCGAGATCCGACGTCGGACAACATCTGCAGCATGGGTGACACGCCACGGTCGGAACCTCTGCGCCCAGCGTCCCAAAGCATGCCTCGAGCCCGATCGTAAAACAGGGCCAGGATCGGGGCAAATCGCTCCAGAGCGTTCCGGAGCGCTCTCAGAGCGTTCCGGAACGCTCTGGAGCGGCCGCGGCGCCCAACACATCCTCTCAACCCGCCGATCCTCGGAGATTTCGAGCTATCCCGATCCGATTTTGCCCCGATCTTCGCGTCGTTTTATCCTGGGTCCCGCAGTGGCGCGGCACCGCCCGGTGCGGCAAGACTTGGGCGCCCGAGTTATCCGGGGTAACTCGGGTCCGGGGTAACTCGGGTTCGGATGCCCGAAAAAGGAACCCGAGTTATCCCTGACCCGAGATACCCCTGACGATTCGGGGCTCTGAAGTGGCGCGGCACCGCCTGGTGCGGCAAGACTGCGGCGCCAGGCTCTCCGGCCCCCCGCACGCCGGCGCCGCCCCCGGCGGCACTCGGCCCGCCGCCCCTTGTACGTCCCGTCGTGCCCGACGAACATGCTGATTGGCCTGTTTTCTGCCACCACAACCATAAGCTGGAGGAGGAGGAGGAGGAGGAGGAGGAGGAGGAGGAGGAGGAAGAGGAGGAGGAGGAAGAGGAGGAGGAGGAGGAGGAGGAGGAGAAGGAGGAGGACGAGGAGGACCCCCTCCCCCTCCAACTTATGGTGGTGGTGGTGGTGGAAAACAGGCCCGTCACATGCTGTAGGGGCCCCCGAGACCGAAGAGGCCCCGGGCCGCCGAGACGTCGTAGACGCGCCCGAGCACCGAGGTCAGGAGGGGGAGCCCGAGCGTGGCGCCCTCCGTGCCTCCGTGCCTGGGAGAGAGAGAGAGAGAGAGAGAGAGAGGGAGAGGGAGGGAGAGAGAGAGGGAGAGGAAAGCCGGCATACGGCAGTCTCCTCCTCCTCCTCCTCCTCCTCCTCCTCCTCCTCCTCCTCCTCCTCCTCCTCTCATCCCTTCCCCCCTCAGGCAATCAACAAGGCTCTCCTCCTCGCCCTCCCCCCCCCCTCCGCCTTCTGAGAAGGCCTTCTCATTCTCACTTCCCCCCTCTCGGAACTCCTCCGTGCTTACCGTGTCGCGGCGGCGGCCCCAGCGACGCGCCACGCCTTGCAAACCGATGGCGCCTCGCTCCGCTTCGCGGAACGGCAGGCTGGGAAGAGTGCGGGACACGCTGACGCCTGGGAGCTGGGACTAAGTCGGGCCTGTCCCCTTCCGGGGGGATTTTCGAGGAAAACTTAAGAATAGCCAAAACAAACTCAAAAATTATCAAAACTACCCCAAAAATCGTCCTCGGACTACTTTTTGCCTATCTTTGAATATTCCACCTGTAGAGGGACAGGCCCGACGCCTTAAAGCTGGGACGTGGCTGGCGCGTCGCGCCGCAGCGTGGTGGGCCCCAGAGCCGGCGACGCCACGCGCCACGCAGGCGACCCTCACCGCAAAAACCCTCGGGGGCTCCCGCGGACCTCACTGCCTCTGCGCTGGGGCCCGCCTCCCCCGCGCTCCTCCGGGGCCTGCACAGGAGGAGGAGGAGGAGGAGGAGGAGGAGGAGGGAGGAGGAGGAGGAGGAGGAGGAGGAGGAGGAGGAGGAGGAGGAAAGGAGGAGGAGGAGGAGGAGGAGGAGGGAGGAGGAGGAGGGGAGGAGGAGGAGGAGGAGGAGGGCCCGCGCAGAACCCTGCCGACAGCCCGCGTGCGGGCGCTTTCCGCCCTCCTCCGACCGCCTCCGCAGCTCGCCCAGCGCGATGTCCCGCTCCGCCGGGTCCAGGGGTGGCGGGATGGGCCCCCTGCGGGCGCCGCCGCCCTCGCCCGCGGCCGCGCGCGCGGCCGCCGCGGCTGGCCCCGGGGCGGCCAGCGCGTGCAGCTCGTCGAAGAGCTGGAGGTGCAGCGCGTACACCGCCCTCATGCACTCGAGCATCGGGCCGCGCCGCTGCTCCGGGATCTGCAGCCCGTCCATGCTGTCGAGGTACTGGAGCACCCTGTCGCGCACGGGCTCGCACGACGGCGGGAAGCGGAAGAACTCCACCCCCACCGGGGGGTCCACGCCTGCTCGCGAGGAGACCATGCTCCCCAGGAACTGGCCTGCGGCACAGAGAAGGAAAGCATCCACCACCGGGTCTTCGCAAACGCAATCCGGGCTCAGATCTTGATGGGCACCGGCACCTGGCCGGGCCAAAGTGTCACACCCGCACAGGGGAGTTCCGGGCCCCAGTAGTGGAGAGATTCCGTCTCCGCACTGCCGCCGCTGAGGACGGCGTTGTAGTTCAGAAAGTGGTGGCACAGGAGCAGCCAGGGATCGGCGGAGTCCTGCCGCAACCGCTCCAGGTAGCGCGCCTCCGCCGCGGCGGGGAGGACGATCAGGAGGGCAGGGGGGATGGAGGGAAGGATCGGCCCATGAAGGAACAACAATTACTTATCCAGGCGCCATGTGTGTGCACGTATTTTCCAATTCGCCTGGCTGGCTCCAGAAACCTCTATCCGGGCGCCATGTGTGCGCGTGGTTTCGCCTGGCCGACTCCAGATACCCTCTATCCAAGCGCCATGTGTGTGCGCGTGTTTTCTAATTCGCCTGTCCGACTTCAGAAACCCTCTATCCAGGCGTCAAGTGAGTGCGTGCGTAGTTTCTAACTCGCCTGGGCCACTCCAGAAACCCTCTATCCAGGCGCCATGCTTGTTCGCGTGTTTTCTACGTCGCCAGGCCAACTCCAGAAACCCTCTATCCAGGCGCCATGCGTGTGTGTGTGTGTGCGCGCGTGGTTTCTACTTCGCATGGCCGACTCCAAAGACCCTCTATCCAGGCGCCATGCGTCTGTGCGCGTGTCTTCTACGCCGCCAGGCCGACCCCAGAAACCCTGGATCCGGGCACCACGTGTGTGTGCGCATGCCTACTCATTCGCCTGGCGCCGCCGAAGGCGAGGCCCTCTCTCTGGACCGCCCCCCGTCGTGCTTCTTCGGTGCGCCAGCCTTGTTCACATCGTCCCGACGAGGACACCGACCACGACTGCGAGCTCGGTATCGTCAGACCTACAGTATAGTGAGGGTGCGCGATGAGGTTGTAACAGCCTTGGACGCCCACTTCGGTACGGCGACCCCCCAGGTGGGGATAGATGCCCCCTCCATGGGGCTCGCGGCATCCATGCCTAATCAGCCTCGATCTTATCCTAATCCCTAAGGTTCGCAATCCCCAAGGCGATGGCAATCTCAGGGACGTCCCCTTAGAAACCGAAAGGGTCCTTCGGATCGGCATCGAGATAAGGCGGTGTCAACCATACTGGTAGGGATATGTTGCAGCCTGGTGAATCCCAATCTCGAGGGGGTAACGCTGAGTTGCAATTGTCGGTCCGCTCGGCATTATCTTTAGTACCCAGAGTAGTAAATGAATTGCTTTCTGGGGGGGGGGGAAGCCGAGCGACATCGTTTAGCACATCGACAAATTGGTTACTTTAACAATCCCGCGGGAAAGGGGGAAGGTGGGAGTAGAAGAAGCGAGACAGCCCAAGAGAGGCCTCAAGGTGGCAATTTGAAAGGACAGATCCCTATCCGAACTCGCTTCGAATCCGATCGGGATATCTCAGCCTTGGCCGATCTCTTGGGCTCTCATTGGAGATCCGAGTGGGGCCTGGTTGGAATCCTACCAGCACCCCGGTGGGATCCCGCACCGAGGGCTCGGGGGGCGAAGTGCAGCTTCCCCGGCCCGCGAAGCGATGCAGCGAGACGGCCTCACCGCAAAAATGAAGGGGCCCTGGGACACACAAATAAATAGACACAAATAAAAGGATCCTCCCTATATTTATGCATATTTTTATGTGTATATATATATAGAGAGAGAGAGAGAGAGAGAGAAAAAAAAAAAAAAAAAAAAAAAAAAAAATTTTCGGGCTTTTGTCTTCCCCCCCACTTCCCATATTTTCTCATACTTTCTGGGGAATCGACGACTCAATGTGTCTGTGTGTGTTTTTGTTTCCCTCCTGCGCTACGGCCTCACCGAAGAAAAAGGGAGGGCCGATGACTGCAGCCCGGGGCGAGAAGGGCACTCGGCACCCCAGCGCGCAGCGCCGCACCGCACCCGCGGCGGGAGGGCGCCGAGATGGGCCGCGGCAGCACGGCATGCCGGGATGCACCACGGCGCCGTGCGAGCACCGGGGACGCACCAAATCGTCGGTGGTTCCTCCTCCTCCTCCTCCTACTGCTCCTCCTCCTCCTCCTCCTGTTCCTCCTCCTCCTCCTCCTCCTCCTCCTCATCCTCCTAGCCGTTCTGGCTCTTGCGGGTGGTGGCCCGCAGAGCTTCCGCAGGCGCACTTCAGAGCGGCTCGTCTGCGGGGAGCCATGTCCGGGCTGTGAGCAGCGCGGGCGGCGACGAGGAGATGGAGAAGGTGGCCTTCGGCCAGCCACTCCTCATCGCCCGCCGCGGGCATGTGGAGCTCGAGGTGTAATCGTACAACATCGCGGACGCGATGGTTGCCGGGTTCTTCGCTGGGGCAGCGGAGGGCGAGTGCGAGGTCTTTGGAGGAGGCGCTGGGCCAGGCCCAGCGGTCGAGGTCTTCATCGGGGACCTCCCGACCATCCAGGAGTGCGGCGAGGGCACGGACGAGAAGTGGTTGCAGGACTGCGACGAGCTTCCTCCCGTCCCCACCTTCCCGACGCTGGAGGTGACGACGGTGCAGAGCTGCGTGGGCTTCGAGGCGATCGAGGGCACCGCCGAGGTGCCGAGCGTCGCGGGCCCCAGCGACGAGGAGAAGGTGATCAAGCTGGAGTTCGTGACAGTGCTGCACACCAACATAGGGCAGCTCGCGGTGGGCAGCGCGAGCAGGGACATGCTGGAGTTCGTGAGCGGGGTCGACATCAAAGACGTCGAGGACCTTCCCAGGGATACGATCAAGCTGGAGGACAAGCTGGACCATGCTGCTGGGGAGGCCCACCTTCCCGAGGAGACGGTCAAGCTGGAGGACGACCACATGCCGCGGAACGAGTTCGCGGCCCAGGCGGTGGTCGTGCAGGAGATGGCCATGCACGAGGCCCTGGTGGATCTGGCCGTGCAGAGTGAGGTGCCGAGCGCGGGAGTGCGGCGGAGCTGGGAGGCCACGGTGGAGGCCAACCAGCTGGCGCACGCGAGGGCGGCCGCCGCGGCGATCCAACTTCGGCCCCAACTCTCCCTGGGCCAGGTGTGCGAGCCGTGAGCGGCGGCGCCAGAGGTTCAAGGGCTGAGTGGGCGGTAGCTATGTGTAGTTGCCGGACTCGGCTCGAGGCGCTGGCGTCTTTCCGGGGGCGGCCTGGGGGCTGCTTCGTTCTGGGGGCGGCCTGGGGGCTGCTTCGTTTGGGCCGCGGGGTCCTGGGTGCGGCCCTGGGGGCTGCGTTCGGTTGCCCGTGGGTCTCCGTCCCCGCGGGGATGGTGGGGCCTTGGCCACGGTTCTCCCCTCGAGGTCAGTCGCTGGGGTGCACCTGTCTGGTGTGGCCCTCGGGCTCCTCGTCGCCACTCGCGCTTGCGAGCCGCAGCATCGGCAGGTGGACTTTTGTCCGCCCAACCCCGTACACATACCTCCTCCTCCTCCTCCTCCTCCTCCTCCTCCTCCAGTTCCCCTCCTCCTCCTCCTCCTCTTGGGAAGGTGACCCATCCTTACCACAAGTTTCGACTGTAAACCGTGGTAGGGCTGCGCAGAGATCTCTGGTCGGCGCTGGAGCCACGCCCCCCTGGCGGCGCGGACCGCGCCGGGAGTGGCGCCGGCCGGCGCCGCCAAGGGGGGGCGTCCGGCGCCGATCCGAGAAATCCGCGCGGAGCTTCGAACGTGCGTGCTTATGCAATATGCTGTTCCTCGATAAAAATTCTGGACGCCCGAAATGGGTGCAGTAGGGGCTCGACCACGAGAAGCCTTCCACAAGAAACCCAACCCTACGGCCCCAGGACGTCCATCCACTTCGTGGTGTGGGAACGTCGCGCCCTCCACAGCAAGACCATCGAGACCCAAGAAATCCAGGGCACCCTCTGGAGGCGAGCAGGGTGTTTCTTGGCATGGGTCTCCACTGCACGAAGCCGTGGGCACGGTGCCCCGCAGCAGAGGTAGCCCAAAACTGGCAGCGGCCGCTGCTGGGCAGGCGGCCATCCGAATGGGCTGCGCCCGCGGCGGCACACACACACAACACGCAACACCCACACAACACACACACAACACACACAACACACAACACACAGCACACACAGCACACACAGCACACACAGCACACACAGCACACACAGCACACACAGCACACAAACACGCGCACAAACACACGCACACACAAACACACACACACAAACAAACACACACATACACACTCACACCAACACCCAGACCCAGACCCACTCTCACACACACTCACACACACGCACATCGAGCCCTGTTCAAAGTTGGCAAGCAGCGCTGTCGGCCTTCATACCCATTCTTTCCGTGCCCATTCCGATCGCACCGAGCGATCGAAGGCCTCCTAAAGGGGGTCGGAAGCCGGGTAGATGGGGCCGGAGCATGGCAACGCATGCAGGCGAGACATCGGCAAAGCGTCGTCGATGCATCGGCGACGTCGGCGATGCATCGGCGACGTCGGCGTGAAGAAAATCAGGCTCGACGTCGGGCCGCACCGCCGATGCACCGGTGATGCGGAGTGATCCTCCGACCCGATCTAATCCGACCCCATCTGGGAGGCCTAGACAGCGGGCGTGACCGGGGGGGGGAAGGGAGAGGGAGGGGCCAGTCGCCTCACGATGCGCGCCGTCGCCGCCTGGCAATGCTCAGGAATGGCCAAGTCCTACGCGGCACCCGCGCGAAGCGTGACGTGACCCGGGGGGGGGGGGGGGGGGGGGGAGAGGGCAGGGGCGGGGCAGGTCACGGGCGTCGTCGCGAACGATGCAAGACGAGCGCCCGAGGTCGGGGCCCCCTCGGGCTCAGGGTCTCGGGCTCTCGGCCCGCTCCTCGGGCGCTTGGGGCCGGGGAGAGCCCGTCCTGGGCCGCGGCTGGCCGTGGCCAGCAGAGGCACCCCCCTCGTTCCTCCTATCTATATACCTATACGACCACCCTGCGGGTGATAAGGAGGTGAGGGGGGAGGGGGAATCAACGTCTCACTCAATCGATCTCGCTATCGATCTCACAATCGATCTCACATTCGATCTCACTATCGATATCACTATCGATCTCACTATCGATCTCACAATCGATCTCACAGTCGATCTCACATTCGGTCTCACATTCGGTCTCACTGTCGATCTCACTATCGATCTCACAATCAATCTCACAATCGATCTCACATTCGGTTTCACATTCGGTCTCACTATCGATCTCACCATCGATCTCAGTATCGATCTCACAATCGATCTCACATTCGGTCTCACTATCGATATCGCAATCGATCTCACAATCGACGTCATCATCATCATCATCATCATCATCATCATCATCATCATCATCATCATCATCATCATCATCAACATCATCATCGCCATCATCAACATCATCATCATCACCATCATCATCACCATCATCATCAACATCATCATCATAATCATCATCAACATCATCATCGGGACACCGACGGGACACCGGCGGGACACCGCGCCGCACCGGCTGCCCGGAAGAGAAACATTTGGTCCGGCCGCGCCTCGGCCACACGGGACACCAGCGGGACACCGGCGGGACACCGCGCGCCACCGGCCGCCCGGAAGGGAAACATTTGGTCCGGCCGCGCCTCAGCCACAGGAGAACCGACGGGACACCAGCGGGACACCGGCGGGACACCGCGCGCCACCGGCCGCCCGGAAGGGAAACATTTGGTCCGGCCGCGCCTCAGCCACATGAGACTTTCTCTCGCCCGCCCACGCAGCTTCGCCTCGCCCGCACGCACGGCACGCACGAACACGAAACCAAAATCGATTTCCCGGTAGGGGGGCTCTCCGTTCCACTTCGATCTCACCCCCTCACCTCCGATACTCGACGCTCCGTGATGCTTGCGCTCCTCTGAGCGGCAGTGAGGCTCGCCTCCTGTTTGTCTCGCTCCGGCTCGTTCTTGTTTTTTTTTGTTCGCCTTCCTCTTCCCTTTGCGCTGATTTAGGCCGTTGCTACTTTGGAATTCCCTGGACGCCGCCCGACCTTTTTTCGCCGCGGTCGCGATCAAATAGTGGCAGCACGGCGGCTGTAAGCAAGCGCCGCGTCGGGGGCCGATCTGCGGGAGCCTCGGCAGGCGGTGGCTGTGGACAGATATCCCGGGCCCTGGGGGAGCCGAACCTGCCCAGAGGCGCCGCCTGCCGAGGGGCCCCAACATTGATCCTGTCTACTCCGACCCCGTCTACTCGGACCCAATCTGGCAGGCCTACACAAAGAAGTCCCACCGGGGGGCGGGATCCGGCCCTGCCAACGCGAGGTGACGAACTCTCAATTCATGACGACTCTTTTGTAACGATCCTCCTCCTCCTCCTCCTCCTCCTCCTCCTCCTCCTCCGCCTCCGCCTCCGCCTCCCCTCCGCCTCCTGCCTCCTCCTCCTCCTCCACCTCCTCCTCCTCCTCCTCCTCCTCCTCCTCCTCCTCCTCCTCCTCATCCTCACTCCTCCTCCTCCTTCCTCCTCTCCTCCTCCTCCTCCTCCCTCCTCCTCCTCCTCCTCCTCCCCTTCTCCTCCTCCTCCTCCTCTCCTCGAGAGAGAGAGAGAGAGTCAGATCGGCGCGCCTCCGCCGCGGCGGGCGCCGGGGCGCCCCGGGCGTGCCCGGCCCAGAAGCCCAGGTCTGCCCGCAGCGCGTCGGCGCGGTGCAGCGCCTCGTCGTGCACGGCGGCCAGCGGGGCCGCCGCGCGCTGCAGCGCGCAGAGCCTCGAGGCCATGGCCCTCTGCCCCCTCAAGGGGCCGTGGCCCTCTCTCCCCGTGTCGTCGAAATCTGTCGCGTCGTCGGCATCCTCGTCGGCCACCTCGTCGTCGTCGTCGTCGGCGGCGGCGGCGGCGTCGTCGTCGTCGTAACCCTCGTCGCCCTCTTCGGCGTCGGAAGGGGGGGACAAGGGGAGTGGGGAGGAACAACCTCTCGCGAGAGTGGTCCAGGGCCGCGCGGCTCCCCTCCAGCTCCGGCCACCCTCAGTGCCCCCCCCTCCGAGCCCTGAATGTTTTGTTCGTCCTTCGTTCGTGCGCGCATGGAGGCCTCCAAGATGGGTCCGAGCACATGGGGTCGGAGGATCGCCCCGCATCGCCGATGCATCGGCGATACATCGCCGATGCATCGGCCATGCATCGGCGACGTCGGCGATGCATCGGCGCCGTCGGCGTGGAGACCAGCGGGCCTCACGTCGAGCCGCATCGGCGATGCATCGGCGATGCGGCGCGATCCTCTGACCACATCTGCTCCGACCGCACCTGGGAGGCCTAGACTTAGGTCGGGCATGTCCTCCTACAGGCGGATTTTCGACGACAAGTAGAATGGGGAAATCATCACCAGACTATTTTCTGAATATTCCTCCATGCCCGGCTTAAGCCTAGATCGAATTTCGATCGCTCGATCGTGGGCTCCTGCGCGCACGGCGGCCAGCGGGACCGCCGCGTGCTGCATCGCGCAGAGCCTCCCGGGGAGCTCGCCCGCCGCCACCCCCAGAGACGCTCGTGTCGTAATACAAGAGGCGGAAGTTAGCTGCTCCGATGCGCAACGCGCGACACCTACATAGCCTGTTGACCCGGAGCTCAACACGTACACCGAACACGCAGGTCTGGCGCGATGCGCTCGCCAGCACGTGGGCCAATGCGCTGAGTCAACACGCAACGTACGCAACGCTGGGCCAATGCGCTGGGCCAATGCGCTGGGCCAATGCGCTGAGTCAACACGGACGTTTTAAGCACGGTGCATGTTGCGTTTCACAACGGGCGTAAAGAGGCAGCTAAGGGGCGGATTGCTTCGTCGTTCTGGGCCTCCGGGGGCCCTTACCAGGCTCCGGGGCCGCCAAAGAACTATAGTGCAGGCCAGTCCACGAGGAGCTTTCCACAAGAAACCCAACCCTGAGACCCCAGGACGTCCATGGATTCTTGGTGTGGGAACGTCCCGCTCTCCACGGCAAAGAAAACCATCGACACCGAAGACACCCAGGGTACCCTGGCGGCAAGCAGGGTACTTCTTGGCGTGGGCCCCCCACTGCAACCACTCGGGACTAGACGCCAGCCCCTGTGAAGGGGCCGCAACGTCCGGGCCGCCCCGCGCGAAGCAAATCAGACAGCGCCCGTCTGCAACGGCCAGGCCCGCCGCGGAGTCCTGGCCGGAGCACACACACTCCCGAAGACTCCACGCGTTGGGGCTGGGCCCCGTCCGCCGGCCCGCGCGAGGCGGGGAGCGCGCGAGGCGGGCGCTGTCCCTGCCGAGTGCCGCGCCCTGCCCGCGCCCTCCTCGCCTCCCCCCCGGTCTCCCGTCCCCCCTCTCCTCTGCCGCAGCAGGCGCGCGTGCTGGCCTTCGGGGGAGCCAGCAGTGACCGAAACACGCGAGCTCTGGCAACGCCGATCCGAGAAGTCCGCGCGGGCCCCAGACCCGGCCCGAGCCCCGAGCCCAAGGTGGCCCCAGCCTCAGGAGCTCGTTGCCTGTTGTTCGCGACGGCGCCCGTGACCTGCCCCGCCCGCCCCCCTTCCCCTCCCCGGGTCACGTCACGTTTCGCGCGGGTGCCGTGTGGGAGTTGGCCATTCCAGAGCCCCGAGCCCAGGGCGGTCCCGACTTCAGGAGCTCGTCTCCCAGGACCCCCTCGACGTATGTGGAAAACTCGCGACGGGAGGTGTTTCGCTAATCATGTTCGGCCTCTGGTGGCCCTTGCCGGCCCTCGGGGCCGTCAGCAAAACGACTCAGGATGAGAAGCCGGTCCCCCGGGGGAGGGGTCGAGACCTCTGCGGGTCGACGCTAGGAAGAAATCATGACACCGGGGGTCTGGGTTTGTATGATTCACGACAACGCCCGTGACCAGCTCCGCCCTTTCCTCTCCCCTTCCCCCCCGGGTCACGTCACGCTTCGTGCAGGTGCCGTGTGGGAATTGGCCATCCCTTAGCATTCCCAGGCAGCGCCGGCGCGAATCGCGAGGTGACTCGCCCCTTCCCCCCCTGCCCGCCAGTCACGCCCGTTTTCTAGGCCTCCCAGATGGGGTCGGAGGATCGCGCCGCATCGCCGATACATCGGCGATGCGGCGATGTGGAGACCGATTTCTGGACACGGCGTGATTCTTCCGACCCCATCTACTCGGACCTCACTTGGTTTGGGAGGCCTCAACCCAGCGCCAGGGGATGCAGAAGCAGTCTCTAACCTGAGCCAGCCCCCCTGAGACCAAGTCGATCACTCTAGCTTGGAGCTGGCCGGGGGGTCTGAACTGGTTGGGGCCCCAAAGGAATCGGTCAAGGGGGAGGGGTGAAGCCAAATCCGCGCAACATCGGTCCCTGCATCCCTCCTGGGGTCCATCTGATGTAATGCTTCGCCGCTTTTCGGTCCCGGTACTGGGGCCCGAAAACGGCCCCAAGAGCCAGAAAAAGACAAAGAACCTCGGGAGACTCTTCATGGGGGGGGATCCCATGGGGGGACAGGATCCCAGGGGGGGGATCCCATAGGATCCCCTGGGGATCCCATGGAGAGTCTCCCGAGAACCTTCCCGGACCCAGAACCTCGAACCTGCCCGCCCGCCCTGCGGGCCAGAACCCACTCTGGGCCACCTCGGGCCCCCAGACTGCTCCGAACTGCCGCGTCCTGGCAGCCCCGGACGCTGAGCGCCCGGACTGGGGGAGAGGAGGGCCTTAAAACGACGCGAAGATCGGGACAAAATCGGATCGGGATAACTCGAAATCTCTGAGAATCGGCGGGTTTGGAGGATGTATGGGGCGCCGCGGCCGCTCCAGAGCGTTCCGGAACGCTCTGAGAGCGCTCGGGAACGCTCTGGAGCGATTTATCCCGATCCTGTAGCCCTGTTTTAGCCTAGCGCCCGCTGTACGCCAGGGATGGCCTCTTCCGCCTCCGGGCGGCCGGCCCTGGGCGGGGAGGGGGGCCGCCGCCGCCAGCCGTCCCCGCGAGGGCCTCGTTGGGCCCCTCGCGTGGGTCAGGAGGGGAAGAGACACACAGACACAAGTAATCGTCGACTTCCCAGAAAATATGGGAAAATATGGGAAGTGGTGGGGAAGACACAAACCCAGAGAATATGAGAAAATATGGGGCATCTTGTTATTTGTGTGTATTTGTTTGTGTGTCCCAGGGCCCCTTCAGTGGGTGGAGCTGCGTGCCCCCCCCCCCGCCCGCCCCCAGGCCTTGCCGCAGCATTTTTTTCACGACGGGCGTTTTCGCCGGGCGTCGACCCGCAGGACACTCACAGATCGCTCCGGCTCGAACACTGGCGCAGAACGATGGGGTCCGGGGCTCCGGTGGTGATTTTTGCGATGTTGCATTCTGTTCGTGACGTCGGATCTCGGGGTTCGTGTCCTCCCCGTTCCCGAGCGTCGAGGGCCGAGGGGTCTCCTGGGACCTCCTGGAAGCTTTCCGCCGCCACGGCTGGATCCGCCTCCGAATTCCGGCCAGAGGTCGAGGTCTCCTGGGGCCTGTCTGAGCCTCAGAGGGGGCTTCTCGTCGCCATGGCCAGATCCGCCTCCAGATTGTGGCCAGGACGCACCCCCCCTGCGTCGGGGGAGGGGAGGGGGCGGAGGGGAGCAGTGGGTGCGAGGAGGAGCAGGGAACAGGAGGAGAGGAGTAGGAGGAGGAGGAGGAGGAGGAGGAGGAGGAGGAGGAGGAGGAGGAGGAGGAGGAGGAGGAGGAGGAGGAGGGCGGAGGATGAGGGGGGGAGACGGGAAGGGGTAGGAATGCGGCAGCCAGGGAGAGGGGAGAGGGAAGGGAGGAGAAGGAGGGGGAGGAGGAGCGAGGGGAGGTAAGTAGGAGGCGGACAGGGAGGATGAGAAGCCTCTCGAGCTCGGAGAAGATGGACAACTGCGCTCGCAAGTAGGCAACATAGGCGTCCGTGTCGAATGTCCGAGCGTATATGGACTTCATGAACGGGTGGTCCATCGTTGCCTGGTGCTCCTTGTTGGTCCGAGCGAGGAACCTCATGGCAGTTAAAAGTTAAGGCCAACGGGATTTGCGTGAGGAGAGGGAGGGGACAGTGCGGAGTGAATGAGGAACGAAATCAGCCGAACCTTCCAACCACTAAGATGATGGAGCTCGACGAAGAGTAGGGCTACAGCCGAAACTACGATCAATGATACTATCAGTTAAGAAGTCTGGGCCAACTTCTCAGACGTTATTGAAATACACCTGGGCCCGATGTTTTGGTGAATGCTGCAGGGGCGGAAGTGCTTGAGAAACTGGGCCAGCTTCCCAGCAAATTGGTGAAGAGACGCTGGCCCAGCTTTTCGGGAGGAGGTTTCTGGATGAGATGCTCGACTGTAGTTGCCCTGGTGGCGGGTGAGCGTGATCTGGGCAAGCCCCCATGCAGACTCTCTCGAGGACGCCTCATTGGGTTCGGAGTAGATGGGGTCGGACGATTGCACTGCATCGCCGATGCATCGACGACATTTGGGTGGAGAAACTCGGGCTCTGGAGCGAGCCGCATCGCCGATGCACCCGTGACGCGGCGTGATCCTCCGACCCCATCTACTCGGACCCGTTCTGGACGGCTTGGCATCCTGCTGACGAGGAGACACAAAAAGAGGGGGATTGGCGTCGGCGGGGGAACATCGGCCTGGAATCGGCGATGCATCGCCAATGGATCGGTGACAGGCCCCCGATGGCGAAACTCAAGGCTCCTGGGCGGGTGGGCTATTAGGCCAGTCGGCGATAGGATGAGTGAACAATTTGGAGTTGATGCGTTGCACCATGAGCCTATGGCTAAGAAATTGTGCTTCGCGCGTTGCGGCGGCGGCCCCAGCGACAAGCCACGTCCTGCGAGCTGATAGCGCGTCGCTCCGCTTCGAGGGGCGGAAGGCTGGGAAGTGCTCGGGACGTTGACGCCTCGGAAATTGGGACGGGATTAGCGTGTCGCGCCGACGCAGCACACCTGGGAACGGGGCCATCACCTGCGGCACAACACGCTGACCATGCTTTCCTGACCGCAGTAAACCTTCATCGGCGAAGAGCGGACGCGTGGGGGTCGATGTGTTCCTCCCCCTCGAGCCCATCCCCCCCAAGTGCAGTAGGGGCTCGACCACAAGAAACCTTCCACGAGAAACCCAACCCTGAGGCCCCAAAACGTCCTCAGACCTTTTGGTGTGGGACTTCGTCGCGCCTTCCATCGCAAAACCATCGAAACCCAGGCACCCCGGAGCTTAGTGGGCCCCGGAAACGGCAGGGCCGTTTTTTCACCGTTTCCGAAAAAAAGTCCCTTGAAAATGGAAACGGCAACAAAAACAGCGACCGGAAACGGCAACAAACACGGCTCCAGGATTGGAACCGGAGCCGGAACCGGTCAAACAACGGCGACGAAACCGGAAAAAAAAGCGGCGTCGGAACCGGCAACACAAACGGCAAAACAGGACCAGGAAGAAAACGGCCCGGTCGTCTCCAGGGCCCACTGTAAGCCCTGGAGGCAGGCGGGGTGCCTCTTGGCATGGACCTCCGCTGTACATGGTGCCCCTGGGCAGAGAGCCAGCTGCTGTGCCCCCTGCCGTCCCGCGCCAGCCCCGCGTACGCGGACTCGCCCGCCATCGCCGCACGCGGCCCGAGCGTCAGGGGGTGGCGAGGAGGAGGAGGAGGAGGAGGAGGAGGAGGAGGAGGAGGAGGAGGAGGAGGGGAGGAGGAGGAGGAGGAGGAGGAGGAGGAGGAGGAGGAGGAGGAGGAGGAGGGGGAGGAGGAGGAGGATCAGGAGGAGGGAGAGGAGGGAAGGAGAAGGAGGAGTAGGCGAAGGAGTCCAGCGCTGCGCAGCGACGAGGAGGAGGAAGAGCAAGAGGAAGAGGAGAAGGAGGAGGAGGAGGAGGAGGAGGAGGAGGAGGAGGAGAAGTACGAGGCAGAGTGCTGCACGGCGAGGAGGAGGAATCCAGTCCAGTCCGCTCCTGGAAGTCCGAGTGCCCAAAAGTGCCGCTGCTCCAGACTTCTGTGGATCGCCTTCGCGACAGTCTGTTCTCATAGATACACTTCTGGGCTCTCCCGTGTCCTCTCGAGCACCGCTCGCACTGCCCCTCCCAGGGCGACCAACGCTTGGGCTCGCAACGTAGGAGGAGGAGGAGGAGGAGGAGGAGGAGGAGGAGGAGGAGGAGGAGGAGGAGGAGGAGGAGGAGGAGGAGGAGGAGGAGGAGGAGGAGGAGGAGGAGGAGGAGGGGGGGGGGACCGCACGTTCGGGAAGCGTCGTGCTCCGCTCAGGCCTCGACGGCACGCTGCGCGGCAGCCCAGTGCAGCAGCGAAGGGAGGCAGTTGGGCCTGGGCTCCCGAGGGAGGTGCGACGACAACGTTCAGGCCCTTTGCTTTCACGCTCGGGGGGCCCTGCTGATGCCCTGGCATCTGCGTAAAGACATCGCTTGTCGTGGACAGCTTGCGTCTTGCAGTCGCCAAGCCGGTTCAGCCTGACGGAGGTGTTTTCCTCTGCCTCACGGTTCCGATCCCTCCTCTCTCCCTACAGTCGAGCAACTACCATCAGGAACGCGAAACATGGAATGCAGCCCGCCTATCTGGCTCTAAATGCGCTTGGGCCCACGAGGAGCGCTCGAGGAACAACCGTAGAATGATCGAAGGAACCGCAAGCAACCCGAACTTTGTCCCTGCTTCAGCGTCTTAATTACCTGTGCGCCCTCCTCTCTCGTTCCACCTCCTCCCCCCCCCTTCTCCCGCCTTCATCCTGCAAAGCACTCCCTTGCCTCAGCCCGCCTGCTCTTCCTACCCCCCTCCTCATCCTGCGCCCCCCTCCAGCTCCACGCCTCCTCCCTCTCGCCCCGCCCGCCCGCGCAAGCTGAACCCCCCCGACCCTAACTACCTGATGCGACCGGCCGAGAAGGTCCCGCCTGGCCGACCCGACCGCCCGAAAGACGGCCCATCTGGCCCGGTACAGCCACCCGAGCCAGGTTCCGACCGATCGACGAAACCGAAGAAGTCTCAAGGTGTGATTGTGCAGTTTGTTCCTCTGCCAAGCTCTAGAACATGTCGGATAATTTCTAGATTCGAACCTCGGCGGCTACGCATGTCGCAACATGAAGGCATGCATGCACGCCTGCAGCAAATCATGCGGCGATGTGTTCGCAATCATGCGGCGATGTGTTCGCAATCATGCAGTGCAATGCGTTGCCACGCCATGCAGTGACTGCATGGCGTGGCAACGATGCTGCGGACTCTTATCACATTTGACCGCCAGTCAGGATCCGCCCAACCACCCGCCCCCGCAAAGGGGAGCCCCCCCAGAACGGGAGGAGCGAAAGGGCAGGAGGAAGGCGAGGGCTCGAGAGAAACAACTCACAATGAAATGCGATCGAGCATGAGCGCTAACTTGTCACTCGCGAGCGTCACCGTCGCCGACGTCGACACCACCATCGGCACAACCGCTTGTCGTCGTCGTCGTCGTCTTCGTCGTCGTCGACGTGGACGTTCGTCGTCGTCGCTGTCGACGCCGTCACCATGGGGCGGCCGCCATCTGTCACTGCTGTCCTGCACGGCGGGAGGGGTCGGGGGGGCCGTCCTCTCTCGCGCCTGTTCCGATCCCGCTCCTTCTTGCTCGCCTTGCGGCCTTCCGTCCTGGGCGCGGCGAGCCTCCTCCTCCTCCTCCTCCTTTTCCTCCCTCCTCCTCATCCTCTTCTTCTTCTTCTTCTTCCTCCTCCTCCTCCTCCTCCCCCCTCCTCACCCTCTTCTTCTTCCTCCTCCTCCTCCTCCTCCTCCTCCTCCTCCTCCTCCTCCTCCTCCTCATCCTCCCTCCTGCCCCTCCTCCCGGGTGCTGGCTGCTCCGCGTGGCTGCTCCGCTTGGGCCCCCACCGGCGGACACGCCGGCACCGGCTCCCAGCACGTGCACCCGAGCGAGCGTGCGCGCGCACGCGCTGCCCGCCTGGACCGGAGCAGCGACTGCGGACTGGCAGGGGGGGAGGAGGAGGATCGAGGAGGATCGAGGAGGAGGATCGAGGAGGAGGATCGAGGAGGAGGAGGATCGAGGAGGAGGAGGAGGAGGAGGAGGAGGAGGAGGAAGGAGGAGGGAGGAGGAGGAGGAGGAGGAGGAGAGGAGGAGGAGGAGGAGGAGGAGGAGGAGGAGGGGGGAGGAGGCGAAGGTGCCATGGGGGAGGGGACCGGGCAGACGCAGACCACCAGTCCTGGGGCACTTCGCGTCGCGTTGCCACTGTGGCGCTTCCGCCACCGGCGCTCCCGCACAGCGAAGCGGGCCTCGCCTTGAGGTCTGCAGTCGGCCGCCGCTGTTTTGGGCAACTGCCCCCCTCCATGGCATTCCATAGCATTCTGCCTCCTGCTCCTCCTCCTCCTCCTCCTCCTCCTCCTCCTCCTTCCTTCCAGCCCTCCTTCCTTTCAATTTCGCCTCGGCATGTTCCCTCACCTGCCGTCCGTACCTCTCTATCCCGCGCCGTCGTCCTCCTCCCGCTGACCCTCCCCCTCATCCACCCTCTCCTCCTCCTCCTGCTCTGTTCCTGCTCCTTCTCTTGCTCCTGCTCCTCCTCCTCCTCTTTTTCTCCTCCTCCTTCTTCTCCTCTTCCTCCTCCTCCTCCTCCTCCTCCAAATACCCACTCCTCATCCTCATTCTCCTGAATACCCCTCACCTCCTTTTCCTCCTCCTCCTCCTCCTCCTTTCTCTCCTTCCCTTCCTTCATCCTCTACCCTTGCCTCCTCCTGCTGAATACCTCTTCCCCTCTGCCTCACAGGAACGTTTCCGGCAAACTGTGAGGCGCTCCTGCTGGCTTCGTGCATACCCGTTTCCTCTCCGCGAGGTCAGCAAAATGAAAAAGCACTCGTCGATCCGTGCGTGCATGGCAAATGGGACCTGCCCACCCTATCCCCTCTTCGCCCCCCGCCTCATCCGCATCCCTTCTCCACCCCCTCCTCAACCTGGCCATACTCCTCCTCCTCCTGCTCCTCCTCCTCCGCCTGAATTTGCCACTGTGCCACCGTGCCTTCAGCACGTAGTGGAGCGCCCAAGGCTCATACGGATGTAAGCGTTACAAAGATTGTAGGAGTTGAGCGGCGGACCACACATGTTCAAGAAATAATGGGCGCACCTGAACGCTTGCGGCGCTGCTCGCGTGGTCTCCCAGAAGCCGAACCTACACAAACTGACAACAACATCCCCTCAGAGCTTTACAAAAAGCCTTCAAAAAGGCTTGATGGAAATTCGGTAACGCCTGGGGACCATTCCCAGGCTCTCTCGGGGGGCCTATTGGGCCGTCTACTAGGAGGCCATGGGGGCGGCTCCAAGGGGACCAAATAGTGAATAGGAACCACTACAGTAGGAGCTCGACCACAAGGAACCTTCCACAAGAAGTCCAATCCTGGAACCCCAGGACGTCCATTGATAGTTGGTGTGGAAACGCCACGTCATTCCGTCGCAAAACCATCGAAACCCCAGAAATCCAGGGCACCCTGGAGGCAAGCAGGGTGTCTCTTGGCATGGGTTTTCCACCGTAGACATGCGTGTTGCATTCTTTGTCGCATGCTCGTGCTCGTTTCGGGGATGGACAGACCCCCCTTTAGTAAAACGTGGTTTAGTGAAAACGACCTGAGGCCCAAACCTGGCGGGCGCAGGCCTGGAAAATAGCGGCCACGGCGCCCTCTCGAGAACCGAAAACGGACAATTCACTAATCGACGTGTCACTGTTGGGGGTTCTGTCCACCCCCGATCGTTTCAAGGTGCGATTGCAAAAAGGATTGCAAAAAAACCCTGGTTGTTTTGCAATCCTTGGTTTTTTTTGCAATCCTTGGTTTTTGTTGCAATCCTTCTTTTTTTTGCAATCCTGGGTTTTTGTTGGTTTCCTACGCAGGGCGTCCAAGCCCGCTCGCGAGGGCCCCCGCGGCTCTCACGGGGGGCCCCGGGCTGCCCCCACGAGCCTCACAGGAGGCCCCCCACGAGGGGGAGCTCGAACTGCCATGGGGAGCCCACCCTCCTCCTCCTCCCCCTCCTCCTCCCCCTCCTCCCTCCTCCTCCTCCTCCTCCTCCTCCTCCTCCTCCTCCTCCTCCTCCTCCTCCTCCTCCTCCTCCCCCTCCTCCCCCTCCTCCTCCACGCTGACGTTGCCTCCGAGACACCCTCGGGGCACGCCAGGGGCGCCCCGGAGAAGGCCCCACAGAGGGGGGCCTCACAGAGAGGCCCCGAGAGGCAAGGCCGAAGGGAGGCCCAGAAGAGACAGCACGTCCACGACCCAGGCACGTCCGCGGAGTGGGCCGAAGGCCGACCTCTCCGACGCCGTCTTGGAGGTATCCTGGGACCTCTTAGGCCGACTCGGGGGCCTCTTGGGCGCTCTTGGGGCTGACTTGGGTCGTCTTGGGCCGACAGTGGCCGAAACTTGGGGCGAGCAGATCTGACGCCCGGGCTGCCTACCCCCCCACCCCCCCCTTGTTAAATCTCCCGGCTAACGGATCGCGACGCTACGCGCGCTTTCCGTCGTCAGCCGCCCCCTGCTGCTTGTGAGAGGGTTTGTCGACGTGCTGGGCGATAACCGTATGAACCCCATAGGGTTCCCAATGGGGTCTCGGCTGATCCAACATGCCACGCGGAAAAGCAATACCCGCATGGCTTCTCCGCTTCTCCGTCCAAGATGGCCCCGAGAAAGCCATGACGGACCAGGACTGCTCCAAGACAGCCCAAGATGGCCACAAGGCGACTCAAGAGGTACCCAATGCGCCTCACGAGGGCTCAAATAGGCCCTCTAAGGGAGCTCGAATATGCCCAAACCATTGTGTGTCCCAATGTTTTTCAAACCAGCGTTCACGTTCTCGACGTTTCTGACTTCAAACAGCCGAGCGAAGACAGCCCCAGAAGCGTCCAAGATAGCTCCAAGTCGTCCCAAGAAGCCCCCGAGAGGGCCTCATGACGGGCCGAGATGGTTATGTGTGTCGGAACTGTTTATGGTTTTTGGTTGTGTTACATGTTTCGTGGAGAATCATAGACGAAACCTTTGAGTGCAAGTGAAAACAACGAGACCCAATAAGGAAACAACAATATCGGCGACTCCCTGGTCAGAATAAAAAACAAAATTGCCTCGCGCCAAAAAATGCTCCTCCTCCTCATCCGACCCCTCTCTTTCTCCCGCTTCTCATCCATACCCTGGTGAACTGGTACATATCTTGGCAAACTGGTGCACTCCCTCCCCTGCGGCACTGGGGAATGTATCAATCTGCGGGCGTTCCGCTGCCGAATGTTTCGGACGGGGTCGTCCTGCAAAGGCTTGGAAACCAAACTGGCAAGCGTACGTGCACACATTCAGTCCCCCCCGGAAAAAAAGGTGTATATATATATATATATATATAGATGACGGTGTGCGTTGAGGTGGGTGTATTAGACGTAAGCAGCATAATAAAATGAGCTTGTACGAAGCCATGAACACGTGTATACGGCGAATACGAAACGCATGCGGGACGTAACACGAAATTTGTACATGAGGTATATGGAATGCGCACGAACCGTGAACAACACGTATGCGAGACGCAGCCGGAACGCTTATGACAGTCTATAAAACATGAACAGAACTGACGCAACCTTGTATGAAACGTGGATAGAACGTATACGAAACGAATGCGAAACGTGTATGACCCGTATGCGGGTGGTGCATGCAACGAATATAATGAGCAGGCGGAACGTATCGGGGATGTGGACGAACAAAAATTGGAACGGGGGAACGCTCTAAGAAACGTAACAAACAAGCCTCTGAAAATATATGGATATACGGAACGCTTCCGAAACGTGAATGAAACACATGTCACGTATATGAGATATGAAACGGTAAACGAAATGCATACGAATCGAATACGAAACGTGTAACACACATATGCGAAACGCATGCGGCACACATTCCAAACACATACAAAACGCATACGAAACGTATACGACTCGGAAGAATACGTAACATACATAAAACCATATGAATCGTGTACGGCACGTACGCGACGTGTAAACGAAGTGTATACGCAACGCATACGATACGTATACGAAGCGTACCCGAAACGCTTACGCAACGTATACAACACCCATGCTGCGCGTAGACGAAACATCTACGAAACGCCCACGGAACGTTCGCACAACGCACACGAAGCGTGTACGAAACGTATCAGACAAATATACAGCACGCGTTTGGCACGTCCACAAAACGTGCGCAACGCATGCACGAAACGTGAATGGAACGCACACGCAACGTATTCAACACACGTATACAAATCGCTGGTACGAGTCGTATACACTATGTCCATGACTTGTTTGTACCACACGTTCGCAACACGTATTCGAAACCTAGCCCCACGTGCACAACATGTACAACACACGCAGACTGAACGAATACAAAGCGTTCACGCACCGTAAACAAAGCATATCACCAACACACCTGGGCGTATACGACACGCATGCGCGACGTATGCCGCACGCGCACGGGGCATATGTCGCACGCGGCCACCACACACGTGACATCTGTACACAACAAACAAACTATAACCGAAACGTAAACTGCATAAGAACGGAACGTGTACGAAACGTAAGCCCCAACTGACTAAAACACAACGCACAGACAACGTATGAACGTCAAATACTGCACGTACACAA